CCACCTGGCTGGTATTGACAGGCTAGGTAAGGTTAACGAAGTACTAACTATAGTACGGTTAGAGACCTTATGGATAGGGAACAGTATACATATTAGACGCTGGATGGGTTCACCTGCAACCTTAGAACCACCTGTACAATTAAGATATCCGGTTGAGCCAGACACGATAACACCTTCTTACTTCCGGCTCGAACAGAAATACAAAAAAGGGTTACAATTCTGGGACAAAATAATTACTTGGTGGTGTAAGCTGTTCTAATTACTATCCTACGAATCCCAGCTAATCCGTAATAATCCTTTCGAAACACAAATGAATCCGCAACTCTAATCAATCCTTAATGAATTCTAGAGCAATCCTAAAATGACAGCCTATCCGGAAAATCATTTACCCGGTCCACCACCATTAAACCTGCAACACTGAGACGAAACTTCAAAGTAGCAAGGACACCTTTGGAACCAAGGTGAGGCCTAAGAACACAGAAAAGAAGAGAAACAAAGACGCAACAACCAATTAACACAGGACGAGGAGATTCAAAATGTCTACATTCATTCTACATCTCTACATCTACATTTCTGTATTTACAACGTGAAATGTATAATGACAATGTAAGGAAACAAGCAAGCATGCACGCATCAAAACAAGCAACACATGCGCATTAAGCCACCCAAAAGGTGGCACGGGCATGAATAGCCCTTAATAGATTGGTTAGAAAGGCGGGGTCCAAGAGCTTAACAGCTCGATTCTGCAGGCACAAATAGCAAACTAATAAACACACACCCACACACGAACCCACCCACCTACCTACCCACACACACGCACACACGCACACACACACACACACACACACACACACACACACACACACACACACACGCACGCACGCACGCACGCACGCACGCACGCACGCACCCACCCACACACACACACACACACACACACACACACACACACACACACACGCGCTGGAAGACAGAAGAGTTAGGGGGGACATGATCACCACATTCAAGATTCTGAAGGGGATTGATAGGGTAGATAAAGACAGTCTATTTAACACAAGGGGAACACGCACAAGGGGACACAGGTGGAAACTGAGTGCCCAAATGAGCCACAGAGATATTAGAAAGAACTTTTTTAGTGTCAGAGTGGTTGACAAATGGAATGCATTAGGGGGTGATGTGGTGGAGGCTCACTCCATACACAGTTTCAAGTGTAGATATGACAGAGCCCGATAGGCTCAGGAATCTGTACACCTGTTGATTGACGGTTGAGAGGCGGGACCAAAGAGCCAGAGCTCAACCCCCGCAAACACAACTAGGTGAGTACAACTAGGTGAGTACACACACACACACACACACCCACCCACCCACGCACCATTCCAACCTGAACATCACAATAAACCCACCAAAGATCTTTCAATAAACCCATCAAATTCCAGCAGATGGAGTCGAACAGCATCATTCCCCCTCGTCGCCAGAGTGCGAAAAAGGTGATGACGGCAGGAGGTGAACCGGAGGTCGGGGCGCCCCCGACACGGCTCCACAATACAAGTCCTCGTCCATATTTTGACTGCGAGCACCATGTGTTTGTGGAGGCAGAATGCTCGCCTCCCGGGGGACACCACAGTAGGGACATGATTTGTCCCCATTCCTGTGACGGTATTTGCCCTACTGAGTGGTGTGAAGGGGAAGGAGGGGGGTGTAGGGTGTGATGAGGGGGGAGGGGTGTAGGGTGTGAGGGGAGAGGGGGGTGTAGGATGTGAGGGGGGAGGGGGGTTTAGGGTGTGAGGGGGGAGGGGGGTGTAGGGTGTGAGGGGGGAGGGGGGTGTAGGGTGTGAGGGAGGAGGGGGTGTAGGATGTGAGGGGGGAGAGGGGGTGTAGGGTGTGAGGGGGGGAGAGGGGGTGTAGGGTGTGAGGGGGGGAGAGGGGGTGTAGGGTGTGAGGGGGGGTGTAGGATGTGTGGGGGGGGGGGGGAAGGGGAGGCCATTTGAGAGGTGTGAGGGCCCATCTCATCTCTATGAGGCGGGCCTATATGGGCGTTTTGACTGCACATCTCATATCAAAATATTTTCCACATCAAACACAAAATGCACCAAGCCTATCATTGACAGGATAGGCCTAGTGGGGGGAAATAAATGTGACATTCTGGGGTATTGGTAGGCCTGCAGGTTCACCCAGCTCGACCCCTCAACACTTGCCTGGTGTAGGCTGCCTCCTCCTAGCTCACCCACACTCCCCATCTCCTCAAGTGGGTAAAATCTCCATATGAATGGCTGTGTAGAGATGGTTCTCGCGGCTGGCTTGGGGCTCCGAGCTCGCCGCCTTTGTCAGTTTTACCCTCGGCTTCTAATGTCTCTTTCGGGGCTTCCTCGGCCCCTCCGGGAGCCGGTGGACGGGTCTGCTACACCTGCGGCTTTACTTCACCTGTCAGCCTCGGTGTAACGACCCGAGGTGGTTCGCACACTACAGTCATTGACCTTTGTAGTGTGCCAGTCATCACCTCTGACTGGCACCCTCGCCATGGCACGCACGCACGTACGCACGCGCACACGCATATGCTCACATGAAAAGAATAACATCGGCGGCGTATGCGAGGCTGGCTAACATCAGAACTGCCTTCAGGAACCTGTGTAAGGAATCATTCAGAACCTTGTATATCACATATATAAGACCAACAATGGAGTATGCGGCCCCAGCATGGAGCCCGTACCTTGTCAAGCACAAGACGAAGCTGGAAAAAGTTTAGAAGTATGCCACGAGGCTAGTCCCAGAACTAAGAGGCATGAGTTACGCGGAAAGACTGTAAAAAGCACCTCACGACACTGGAAGACAGAGGAGTAAGGGGAGACATGATCACTACCTACAAAATTGTTACTAACTACTAACCAACTAAATTTTTTTTCATACACACACAACAGCTGTCTAACTCCCAGATACCTATTTACTGCTAGGTAACAGGGGGCATCAGGGTGACAAACTCTGCCCATTTTGTTTCTGCTATCACCGGGGATCGAACCCGGACACTAGGATTACGAGTCCAGAGCGCAGTCCACTCAGCTATTAGCCCCCCCCCCCTGATGATTGTGTGTGTGTGTGTGTGTGTGTGTGTGTATTCAACTAGTTGTGCTTGCGGGGGTTGAGCTTTGCTCTTTCGGTCCGCCTCTCAACTGTTAATCAACAGTTACTAACTACTACCACTACTACTACTACTACTACTACACACACACACACACACACACACACACACACACACACACACACACACACACACACACACACACACACACACAAGGGGCCTCGTAGCCTGGTGGATAGCGCGCAGGATTCGTAATTCTGTGGCGCGGGTTCGATTCCCGCACGAGGCAGAAACAAATGGGCAAAGTTTCTTTCACCCTGAATGCCCCTGTTACCTAGCAGTAAATAGGTACCTGGGAGTTAGTCAGCTGTCACGGGCTGCTTCCTGGGGTGTGTGTGTGTGTGGTGTGGGAAAAAAAAAAGTAGTTAGTAAACAGTTGATTGACAGTTGAGAGGCGGGCCGAAAGAGCAAAGCTCAACCCCCGCAAAAACACAACTAGTAAACACAACTAGTAAACACAACTAGTAAACACAGGAAGCAGCTCCGTAACAGGTGTCTAACTCCCAGGTACCTATTTACTGCTAGGTAACAGGGCATTCAGGGTGAAAGAAACTTTGCCCATTTGTTTCCTCCTGGTCCGGGAATCGAACCCGGGCCACAGAATTACGAGTCCTGCGCACTGTCCACTCAGCTACCAGACCCCTGTGTGTGTGAGGTCCCAACAAACAACCAGAGGATGTTGTTGTTTCAGATTTAACTACTCGGAACAAAGTGTCCATGTAGCACGGGCTATGGTGAGCCCGTAACACACCCGTAACACATAAATACAACAACCAGAGGAGGAACCCCCCTATTTTATACATAATTATACAACATGACCCGGGTGAGGAGCGGGCCGGGGTGAGGAGCGGGCCGGGGTGAGGAGCGGGCCGGGGTGAGGAGCGGGCCGGGGTGAGGAGCGGGCCGGGGTGAGGAGCGGGCCGCGGTGAGGAGCGGGCCGGGGTGAGGAGCGGGCCGGGGTGAGGAGCGGGCCGGGGTGAGGAGCGGGCCGGGGTGAGGAGCGGGCCGGGGTGAGGAGCGGGCCGGGGTGAGGAGCGGGCCGGGGTGAGGAGCGGGCCGGGGTGAGGAGCGGGCCGGGGTGAGGAGCGGGCCGGGGTCCTCTGACCCACAATGACCCGCCAAGACTTGCCAAGCTTGCGGTCCAATTTATAGATGGTGGAAACTAAATACAATTCTCAGAGATGGAATTACTCCAGACAAAAGACAGGAAGAGGAAGATGAAGAAGGTGCTGGCCGGCTCCTCACAGTGTTCAAGAGAGAACCTGATAAACACCTCCAAAGAATATCTGATCAACCAGGCTGTGTTACATACGTCAGGGTGCGAGCAGCTGCGCCCAACAGCCTGGTCGACCAGACCATCAACCAGGTCTGGGGAGGACGTTGATGATGTTCCTGCTTCTTCACGTTGCCTTAATGTGATTCCGAGGATCAATGTCTCCGCAGTTCGGTCTCTGGCCAAATCTCCTGGTTGGCGATCGGGTCAATCAAGCTGTTAGATGCCGCTGCAAGCACACACACAGCCTGGTGGATCAAGTTCCCTCCTAAACACCGAGAGGGGGGGGGGGGAGCAGGTAAAGAAGTGCCTATTTCAACTGACTTATGGAGTTGAAAAGTCGTGGGCCCTTAATGTTTAGAGAAGAGCCTGAGTACCTATTTGTCATACCAGCGATGACGACGACGACATCAACACAACAACCACGGGATCGCCATAGCCCGTGCTACGTGGACATTTCCTTCTGAGTAGCTAAATCTAAAACAACAAAACAAATACAACAACAAGAGCGGCGTCAACAAGAGCGAGACAAGAGCGGCGTCAACAAGAGCGAGACAAGAGCGGTGGCGGCGGCAACATCGCGGGTGACGGCAGATGAAGGCGTCACAGTTGGCCTGGCCGGAGTTCGTTATTGGTGGCGTAATGAAAAACCAATACAGGTTCCCGCACCGGCAAGCTCCCAGCGCCCACTCCCAGCTCCCTCCAAACCCAGCGCCCACTCCCAGCTCCCTCCAAACCCAGCGCCCACTCCCAGCTCCCTCCAAACCCAGCGCCCACTCCCAGCTCCCTCCAAACCCAGCGCCCACTCCCAGCTCCCCTCCAAACCCAGCGCCCACTCCCAGCTCCCCTCCAAACCCAGCGCCCACTCCCAGCTCCCCTCCAAACCCAGCGCCCACTCCCAGCTCCCCTCCAAACCCAGCGCTCACTCCCAGCTCCCCTCCAAACCCAGCGCTCACTCCCAGCTCCCTCCAAACCCAGCGCTCACTCCCAACTACCTCCAAACCCAGCGCCAACTCACAACTCACTCTAAACCCAGCGCCCACTCCCAGCTCTTCCCAGCTCCCTCCAAACCCAGCGCCCACTCCCAGCTCCCTCCAAACCCAGCGCTCACTTCCAGCTCCTTCCAAACCCAGCGCTCACTTCCAGCTCCTTCCAAACCCAGCGCTCACTCCCAGCTCCTTCCAAACCCAGCGCACACTCCCAGCTCCCTCCAAACCCAGCGCCCACTCCCAGCTCTTCCCAGCTCCCTCCAAACCCAGCGCCCACTCCCAGCTCTTCCCAGCTCCCTCCAAACCCAGCGCTCACTCCCAGCTCCTTCCAAACCCAGCGCACACTCCCAGTTCCCTCCAAACCTAGCGCCCACTCCCAGCTCCTTCCAAACCCAGCGCCCACTCCCAGCTCTTCCCAGCTCCCTCCAAACCCAGCGCCCACTCCCAGCTCTTCCCAGCTCCCTCCAAACCCAGCTCCTTCCAAACCCAGCACCCACTCCCAGCTCCCTCCAAACCCAGCACCCACTCCAAGCTACCTCCAAAAAACCCGCACTTTGGCAGAGTTCGAGCCCACCTGCGATGCCCTCCAAGCCTCGTATAACAGGGGGTCCCCACAGGATCTTCTCACGAGGAAATTCGAGACGATTGGGCAGACCATCAACCAAGAGGCCCGGTCACTCTGGCGCCCGCGGGGATGGTGCTTACCAGATAAACATAAATTTGAAGGTAGGTATCACCCTTCTTCTTCTCCTTCTTCCACTCCTTCATAATCCGGCAAGTCTATCCTTGTCTACCTCCACCGTCTTAATCCTGTCTTCTCCCATCGTCTTCTCTCCATCAATCACTCCTCGCTTTCGTCCATAGTTCAATAACCACAAAAACCTTCCCTCCCCCTTCTCTACAGGGGGGCAGCAGGTCTCCAAGCCACGAAAGGCTCAGGAGGGTGTCACGATGTCACACGAGGTCACAGGAGGGGTCCTGGTGTGGTTGAAGTATGTCACGATGTTAGGCGAGGTCACAGGAGGGGTCCTGGTGTGGTTGAAGGATTTCACGATGTCAGACGAGGTCACAGGAGGGGTCTTGGTGTGGTTGAAGGATGTCATGATGTTAGGCGAGGTCACAGGAGGGGTCCTGGTGTGGTTGAAGGATGTCATGATGTTAGGCGAGGTCACAGGAGGGGTCCTGGTGTGGTTGAAGTATGTCATGATGTCAGACGAGGTCACAGAAGGGGTCCTGGTGTGGTTGAAGGATGTCACGATATCAGACTAAGTCACAGAAGGGGGTCATGGTGTGGTTGAAGGATGTCATGATGTCTGGCGAAGTCACAGGAGTCGCCATAGTGTGGTTGAAGAGATCAGTATTGGGCACAGGAAAACACTGAAGGTCACTAAGCGAAGGGAGCTTCGTTGCTGTGTTTACTAGTTGTGTTTTTGCGGGGGTTGAGCTTTGCTCTTTCGGCCCGCCTCTCAACTGTCAATCAACTGTTTACTAACTACTTTTTTTTTTCCCCACACCACACACACACACACACCCCAGGAAGCAGCCCGTGACATCTGACTAACTCCCAGGTACCTATTTACTGCTAGGTAACAGGGGCACTTAGGGTGAAAGAAACATTGCCTATTTGTTTCTGCCTCGTGCGGGAATCGAACCCGCGCCACAGAATTACGAGTCCTGCGCGCTATCCACCAGGCTACGAGGCCCCCAAATGTACTAGACTATGTAGGGCTAGGACTAGGACTAGGCTATGTACTAGAGTCTGTGAACAACTCAAATACAAGAACTTCATTCATGAATATTTGCTGGTGTTAGTTTACTCAACTTTAGAGCAAATCATCCCCCCCCCCACCACCACCACCAGCCACTTGGGCTGGACGGTAGAGCGACGGCCTCGCTTCATGCAGGTCGGCGATCAATCACCGACCGTCCAAGTGGTTGGGGCACCATTCCTTCCCTTCCGTCCCATCCCAAATCCTTATCCTGACCCTTTCCAAGTGCTATATAGTCGTGATGGCTTGGCGCTTTTCCTTGATAATTCCTCCCCCCCCCCCCCAGTCATAATAACAACACAGCATATAACTACTTTGTAAACTGTGCGATTTAGATTTAGATTTAGAAAGTACATTTATGAGCAATCTATACACAATTACAACTGTGCTACGCTGGTCCGCGACCAGGGGGCAAACACTAGCATAAAACTCCTAAATCCATACTGTACAGTATATAATAATGTGGTTACATTTATTAAACAGTTTACAAGCATGAAATCTTGCCAATCAACTGTTGTTATTGTTATAAACAGCCTCCTGGTGCTTCGGAGCTCATTAACTGTTTAATAATTGTAAACAAAGCCGCCAAAGATTGAGAAAAGATGGACAGGTTCGTAAGTGCTTGCGTAACTGCTTCGTGACTCTGGCTCCTGGACTCCGAGCAGGTGGGTAGTGAGAAGTCACCAAGCAGACAATCACGTGGCCACGAAAGATTACTAACCTGTGGTATAGATGTAGCCCATATCCAGAGTTCTCAAGGAGCTCGGCCGTGAAGCACAATATTTTGGGAGATACCTTGAGAGCGTCTAGGACTCGCACAAGCCCAAGAGGTCAATGAGAACTCGCCTGGTTGCACCCTTAGCAGTTGAACTTCAGCTCTTAGATCCGCTCCTCAACTTTCATTGACTGACGTACATGTTAGCTAGCTTATAGGGCTAGCATATTTACGTTTGAGGCTGTGCATTGAGTCCATTTTCGCTTCTTCCCTGAATAGTACATTCCACTTGTCTACTACTCTGACGATAATTTTTCTTCTAATATCTTTGTGGCTAATGCAGGTGTTAAGAGTAGTTTCCCCCGTGTGTCCCCTTGTTCCTGTACCTGGTTGATGGGGTTCTGGGAGTTCTTCTACTCCCCAAGCCCGGCCCGAGGCCAGGCTTGACTTGGGAGAGTTTGGTCCACCAGGCTGTTGCTTGGAGCGGCCCGAGGCCAGGCTTGACTTGTGAGAGTTTGGTCCACCAGGCTGTTGCTTGGAGCGGCCCGAGGCCAGGCTTGACTTGTGAGAGTTTGGTCCACCAGGCTGTTGCTTGGAGCGGCCCGAGGCCAGGCTTGACTTGTGAGAGCTTGGTCCACCAGGCTGTTGCTTGGAGCGGCCCGAGGCCAGACTTGACTTGTGAGAGTTTGGTCCACCAGGCTGTTGCTTGGAGCGGCCCGCAGGCCAGACTTGACTTGTGAGAGTTTGGTCCACCAGGCTGTTGCTTGGAGCGGCCCGCAGGCCAACATACCCACCACAGCCCGGTTGGTCCGGCACTCCTTGAAGAAAACTATCTAGTTTCTCTTGAAGATGTCCACGGTTGTTCTGGCAATATTTCTTATGCTCGCTGGGAGGATGTTGAACAGCCGCGGACCTCTGATGTTCATACAGTGTGTGTGTGCCACCAATGCTAAATCGTGTCTTGTATTACCCTAAGAATTATCCTCATATGTCTTCCAAGCGTTGGCTTAGCCCCTTCACCTATCTCTACTCTCCAGACCATTGACGGTCCCCCTTCCCCAAGACCACACCAGGCATACTGCACAGTCCACAGAGGGCCACCTACAGGTCCCACCAGACAGACAGACAGAAGAAATCCAAACTTGACTATCGTCCAGGGACCGAGGATGTGACCGGGGATGTGACAAGGATATGTGACTTGTGATGTGTGACACAGCGAGCCACGCTGACTCCTCCTCCTCCCTCCTTGGATATTAATGACACATCAGACTCTTGGGTATAAATGACAAAGCTTAATACCAATTATTTTCATCGGTGCATCATTCCTCAAATTATCGAGCGGAAACTCTTTGTACGGATTCGAACGAGGGGAGAACTGTTAAACAGAAGAACGGATGAACGCTTGGACGGACGATTGAACACATGTGTACCGAGAAGGGAGAACACACTAACGAACTAAAGTTCCAACGGCCGAACGTCCAAACTGTTGAACGGATGAGCGTTCAGACTGTCGAACCAACGGATGAGCGGACACTCTAACGGACACACTGACAGGAACCCTATACACCGACCTCCATGTAAACTGGTGGTAGCCTAAAAAAAAGAAAAAGTCCTTCCACTTGCCTTTTCAGGCGATTGGCGCTGTTGTCTTTTTTTAGGGAGGAATCCAGATATGCAGATGAGGCTTTCAACAAATCAAGAGCTTTACGTCCATAAAGGTGACCACAAAAGCCCCCATGTTACCATACTAATCGGACACCAGCTGTAGCAACAACACTCTATAACGGCGGCTCCTGATGCTGGATTATAGGATTCAGCGCCAGAGGGGAAATGTAGAGGGAGGAAAAGAGAGAGAGAGAGAGAGAGAGAGAGAGAGAGAGAGAGAGAGAGAGAGAGAGAGAGAGAGAGAGAGAGAGAGAGAGAGAGAGAGAGAGAGAGAGAGAGAGAGAGAGAGAGAGAGAGAGAGAGAGAGAGTGAGTGAGTGAGTGAGTGAGTGAGTGAATGAGTGAGTGAGTGAGTGAGTGAGTGAGTGAGTGAGTGAGTGAGTGAGTGAGACAGAGAGAGAGACAGAGAGAGAAGAGAGAGAGAGAGAGAGAGAGAGAGAGAAGAGAGAGAGAAGAGAGAGAAGAGAGAGAGGAGAGAGAGAGAAGAGAGAGAGACAGAGAAGAGAGATCCAGATCCTGGATTGTACTTGGACAATGGGAGTTCTACTCCCCAAGCCCTAGACCCACATACCCACCACAGCCTGGTTGGTCCCGTACTTCTTGCAGGAAACCGGTGTATTTTTTGACATCCACTTTTGCTCCGGCAATATTTCAAATGCTTGCTGAGCGAGTATTGAACAGCTGTAGACCTCTGATGTTCAGTGTTCTCTGATTGTGCCTACGGCACCTCTACTCCTCACTGGTTCTATTCTGCTTTTCCTACCATACCTATTGCTCCAGTTGTGTAAATTCTACTGTGCAAATTTGGGACCTGGCCTTCCAGTATCATCAGTCTACATAAATATTATTTGATACTTCCCTCGTCTCTTTTCTACAGAGTACATTTTGAGAGCTCTGAGACGGTCCCAATAGTTTATCGGGTCTACGAGTGCCGTATATATTCTCTGTATTCCCGTTATTTCAGAAATCTTTCATGCTCTGAAAGTGGGAAGCGAGTACTGAACAGCAGTCCCACGGAGCGAGTACTGAACAGCAGTCCCACGGAGCGAGTACTGAACAGCAGTCCCACGGAGCGAGTACTGAACAGCAGTCCCACGGAGCGAGTACTGAACAGCAGTCCCACGGAGCGAGTACTGAACAGCAGTCCCACGGAGCGAGTACTGAACAGCAGTCCCACGGAGCGAGTACTGAACAGCAGTCCCACGGAGCGAACAGCACA